TCAATTATTTTCCATGTGGAGCCATGGTGCAGACATGTGGATAGACACGGCCAGTAGGTCCAGAACTGAGAAAGTTCTGCTGCTCACAACTCATTCTATAACCATGTTCATGCAGTTACACTGATTGGAAATCACAGGTGGACTCGGTTTAGTTTCAGTGATCACAGGTGTGTTCCCTTTTGTTGCGTTGAGTTTAACTTTGTTGCCTGATTTTTCCAATATAGTCTTTCTAAAGCATTGATTTGTGATTGTTCATAAGAGGAAATACTCAACTGATCAACTCATATTTAGCTTCTTTTTCTCTGACATTTCTTTAATCCTTGCTGCTGCCTTCTGTCCTCCTGTTTACATCACAAGCTGCATGCTTGACAATCTTTCCAGACTGCCTGTATTTAGTTCTCTGTGTGTCATTTGTTTAGCGTGATCTATAAACTCAGGATAACATGTCGCCAGCCACAGCAGAGCAAATCTTTTTCACAGTAATCTGAGTGGAGAATGCGTGAATTACATATTTACACTGACTGACCTACACTCGGGTCACAAAACATGTCATGTAAGGAAGTTCTGCAGTTTCTTAGAGGAGATAATTAAAAATTCAATTAATCACTTAAAGAAAGTTTGGGTTTGCAGTATTCTCTCCACATTGTGTGCATAAAAAAAAAGTGAATATTGTACTTGTGCGTTTGGTTTAGATGTGATTCTTGCAGCTTTACTTGTTTTCATTGTTCTTATTTTTCTCCAGCAACAAGCAGAATATAAGCACAATTATTCACTTTTTACTTTTGGAATTTGTTTCAGTTAATTCTGAGAGAACAACAAATTCTTTACTAGAAAAAAATCCTGAAAATACACTTGGATATAATGACTGTTTATATTAATATCAAACATCTCCAGAACCGAAGAAAAACAGAGAAAAGAGAGGGAAGAAGAAACTGGCTCCTCGAGTGTTTCTTTTAGATGATAAGTTAGTGGATCAACAAAAAGCAGAAAATTAAAATCCAATGACTTTACGCAAAACGGTGACAGGAACATTAGCAGCTTTGTTATTTGGGCCCAGTGTAGACAATAAACAACTGTCTTTAGAGTGAATATTTATTCAGGAATATGATTTTCCTGAGGGAAGGTCTGCTCAGTTTGCCTCCAGCCTTCTGTGTGCAGAACTTCCCCAAACACACAAGATGGCAGCATTATTCCACCGACTGGAATTAGTCCATCTCTGCCGAACTTAAGGACTATATAAATGGTGTCGTTGTAAAACTGTTTATTTGATTTGTTTCACGGTTATACTTTGTATAAGTTTAATTTTCTTTTTTAGGATGTATTACATTTGTTGTTAAATTTGTTGCTCTGATGCATTTCTGTGTTCGTGTAGAAAAGGTTTAATTTGTCTATATGCTTATTATGTCCATCCATCCATTATCTATACACCGCCTAATCCTCACTAGGGTCATGGGGGGCTGGAGTCTATCCCAGCTGACTCAGGGTGAAGGCAGGAGACACCCTGGACAGGTCACCAGTTTATCACAGGGCTACACTTAGAGACAGACAACCAAGCACACTCACATTCACACCTACGGACAATTTAGAATCACCAGTTAACCTCAACATGTTTTTGGACTGTGTGGGAGGAAGCCGGAGAACCCGGAGAGAACCCACGCTGCACGGGGAGAACATGGAGACTCCACGCAGAAAGCGTCCTCACCGGGACGCTAACTGGTGAGCTTCTTGCTGCGAGGTGATGGTGCTAACCACAGAGCCACCTTGCAGCTCTAGCAGTGCACTGTTTTTACAAAATACATTTAAAAACTGTAAAATCTGACGCTTTTCTTTGGTGGAAAAACAACAATGACCTTTCCACTGACTCGCTCAGTGGTCTCCCCACCACAGATCACAGATGCCACCTATGCGCGGGGTGCTGGGGAGGGGGATGCTCTGAGCAGGATAAGAGCATCTGTAGTCAACAGACTGACAAAAAGAGCCAGCTCAGTCTGTGGCTGCCCCCTGCACTCCACTGAGGTGGTGGGAGAGAGGAGGGCACTGGCCAAACTGTCCGCTATCATAGGAAACACCTCCCACCCTCTGCATCAGACTGTAAACTCTTTAAGCGGTGCGTTCAGCGACAGACTGTGAAACCCAAAGTGTAAGACGGAACAGTTCTGCAGGTCCTTTATTCCAGCATCAGTTAGACTTTACAATGCTGCGTTATAAAATTCTCTGGTCTGTTTGAAGGCAAAGTCCTGAATTGAAAGTGTTGTTTAAATGAAAGCATGTACGTATACTCAGAGAAATACAAAACGTGTTACTGAATCAGATAAATGTCCCAGTTTACCCATCAGATGCACAGAGAACAACAAGGTGTTCACGTGTTACTTTAAAAGGTGTGTGAATCGAAATAGGAGCTGCAGAGTTTAACACAAAGACATCTCTGTTCACGCCAGCCACGTTTAGAGTCACATTTTAACCTACCGTGCATGTCTCTGGGCTGTTGGAGGAAGCTGGAGAAATCCCTCGTAGAAGATGTGAACTCCACACGGAGCAGCTGCAGCCTCGAACCCTCGACCTTCCTGCTACCCGCTGCACCACTGAGTCGTCCTCTGTTGAAACAAAAGAACTATTTTCAGTTCCTTTAAGGCATTTTTCTGCTCTTAAAATCTGGCATTCAGCTGAGTGTTTTGCAGGACAACTTACAATGTCACAGTGTGCTTGTTGGAAAATCCAAACAGACCACGTCGTAGTGTTCATTTTGACCAAGAATGTCTTTTAAATGGTAAAAATGTTTCAGTATTGTTAGATTTCTGTTGTTCAGGTACATTTCACACACAGTGATGGAATCTGTTTCCTTCTTATTACCCCAAATAACTGATGCTGACTGATTTAAAGCAACTTTCTGCTTTTACCAGATCCACCACAGCTGTTTGCTGTTTGGACGATTAGACGGATTCTCTGCAGCTGAAAGGATTCAAACCAAACACACAGTCAAAAGATTACAACAGTGTCTCACCGAGGCGCTGATAGACATGAGAAGGGATTTGTAAATGTCTGTAAATGTAAATGCACATTTGACTTTTACTGCACGTTTAAATTTATAATGTTTGAGTCAAATACAAACATTAATGAAAGTATCAGCAGCACATTTAGACGAACCGGACTAGTGTGTGATACAAGTTAGATGAGAGAACATAAAATGGACAAAAACAAAAACGGGTACAAACGTAACACTCTCAGTTTGAGGTTTCAGGAGGAAAAATACTACATTTGTTTTTCAGAAGTTGTATTTTTAGTAAACTCTGATTTCAGTAGGTATCTCAGTTCTAGGAGAAATCTTTTAAACTTAGGGGGTTATTTTGCAACTTTTTGTGTGTGAATTTAGAAAATAAAGCAGATAAAGTCATGATATTGGTCAGATATTTACCATCTGGATTGCCACGATTATAGAAAAGGTTTTCAAGATTAAAAGACAGACTTGGCATATTTCACACTCAAAGAAAAAGTGAAATATTATTTCAGTAGTAAGTTTACAAAAGCTACAAAAAATATCCTTTAACTTAAAAAGAAAAAAAAACTTTTTATTGTGATAATTTTATTTCATTCTACTACGTATTTAGGGTTTTGTCAACTTGGTTTAGCCCCTCTAGTTTAATATCTGCTTTGTGGGAAAGATGTTATTTAAATAAAGTTAACACCATTATCACTATATCGCTCTCTATAAATCTGACAATATGACAGTAACTTATCAGGGTACATTACTGTGATCATTTACATTTATTTGTAATACAATACTTACGAGGCCCTTCTCGAGTTTTATTTTTTCTCATTTTTTTTTGACAAGAACCTGCTAATTATTACACTTTATATCTTTTATTTCAGTTCCACTGGACATCAACAAAGGCTGTGTTATTGTTGGTTCTTAAAAAGAAGCACAAGTTAAGGAATTAAATTCTCTGAAAAGAAAACTGTGCACAGACACAAACCGCTCATGTGACAGCGTATGAGCATTTTTTATTGAGACTGACAGTATGATTTATGTTTTTCTGGAACCAGTTAGAAGAGAACAAGGCCTTGTTTCTGTTGCTGATGTTCCTGGAAAAAGTTTTGTGTTGTGAGAAATTGTGGAGAGAAAAGAGCTTCCGAGCAAAACAGACATGCTGATGGAATTCTGATAATTCAATTGGCAATCTGTTTAATGAAATAAAAACCCAAATAAATGTCAGGAGAAATGCCTAACCTCAAAATACTATTATCTTTTTACCCAAATAACCCTAAAGGAATGAATAGATTTATTTGTTGTTATCATTTAATATTTTATCTATTTGTTTAATAGTGGGATGTAATTCTGTATCAAAATTACTTAGTTTATTTTATTCCTTTTGTTTTTGAGGATCAGAAAATGCCTGCGTTCTTAAAAGAAATTAGATTTCTAAATTGGTTTAAATATAATTTCTCTTAAATATGTTATCTGGAATTGACCACATTAAAAGTTCCAGCAAGCTATCTGTAGATATTTCACATGTTCTCCTAACACGCATATAACAGTTTAAATAAATACTAAATATACAATTATTCTGAAGTGAACCAATAAGTAGGCCTATGTGGTGGCCATGTTCAAAATAGTTTTGAAAGTATATGCAAGTATAGTACACACCTGTTTTAATACTGCTGTTGTATTTTAATGGTGTGGTTGTTTGAATAAAAATAAACTCAATTCTTTAAATTCTCTAATTTAAAAAAAATCAACCTATATGGGATTTTATTAGGACAGTAGCATCTATAAAAAAAGTGTTCTCAGGAAATATTATGAGATAATGTCATCAATTCATCAATTTTGTCCCGAATTATCGTAATTTTTTCTCTTCTGTATTTTGTATTAAATGTTTATAGAATCGTACCAAAATGATTCCATAAACTATTTTAGAGTACTTTTTAAATTTATTTATTTTTTTTTTTAGAAAAATTAAAACGCTCACCATAACCGGAAGTGGATCAGTTCTGCATCCGGGTCACAGTCTGTTTACAACTCTGATGGCGGACGGCTAATGCTAACCACCGAGGGAGGAAGCTGCAGTTAAATCGTATTTTACTAACATTTTGCGGCGGTTTCGCTACAAATGGCTTCTCAGATCCCTATTACCGTCAGGACCCAGCCGACGGCCGCCAGCTCCGCCGCTCTCCGGGGGAAGAAACGTCCCGGAAGTCCGGCGGTGTCCGGAGCTCCGCAGGCCGCCGGGAGCAACAAGAAAAAGAAGCCGGCAGCGACTCCGACAACTCAGGCCCAGGTAAACCTAAACTGAACCACACACTGACATGCTGGAGGAGTGATTAAGGTGAATATTTATTTTATAGTACTGTAGATATTTTGCTTTATAATTACCCACCTCGGGGACTGAACCACAAGGCGACATTAAAAGGTTATTAGCAGCAGGTATGTTAAGTGTAAAGTGGCTCTACTTTAACCTGCTATATATCACCATGGTAACTGATGTTGCACTGCTAACAGCTAATCTGCAGGATATTATGTTCAGATATGGTAAAAATCTATTTTAATTTGTTTTTGTTATAAACTTGACCATGTAAAATTAAACCTGTTCCCATATGAACACTTTAACTTTTATCATTCTTAAAGCCCCCTAATAACAAAGTAGCCTTCCAGCTTCAGGTTGTTCCATCTCATATCATCAGAGCCCATCTGCTCGAGCATCTCTCATTTGCTTAAAACTTTATCACAAACCATGGCGATTTGAATTGTATCTGCCAAACTGTAGGGTTTTAATAGATTTGACAGCTCTATCTCAGGATCTGTCAAAGATAAAAGCCTGAAAATGACTTTATTTTCATTTTTATGACCAGGTTTTTCCATATTAAAGTATCCTACATGGTTTGTTTTGTAATATTATACACATTATACATGCAACTATAGATAGTTAAGAAAATATCACTAGCTGACTCCTGCATTTTCATTTTTTTTGTTCAGATATGCTCAGAGGTGGAGCTTTTCTTGACAGCATGAAGTTTTTTCATATTTCAACTCCCCCATAATCAGAGATTATTTGACCTACTTGACCAATATTGTGAAACAATGACATCATGGAAACAGTAAAAATTGCTTTTAAATTCTTCATAGCTCCTGAGATATCGTCATTCAAACATCGTCTTAAATTTGTACGCACAAAGAACGTTTTGAAACAGGAAGAGAGGCAGTTTAAAAAATTAAATAAAATCTTTGGAAGTATTTTGTTTTCTTAAAAATTTCACAAACATCTTCCCAAATATTCCAGTACTTAGCTTAAACTGAAAAAGGGAACGATATGGATCCTTAAATTGCCCTTCAGAAGTGTCTCCCTGCCACCAGTTCCTCTGCAGACCATATCCTCTCTGAGCGGTACAGTTTCTTAGCTGTCATTTCTATAAACCTGTTCAGCTGTAAGTTTATAATCCTACATGCAATCAGCTGATGATGCTGAAAAATACATAAATATGCTGATTTGCTGCCCAGTCTGTTTTACACTGATGGGACTGCAGCTAATAAAACACAGATTAAAATATTAGTTATTCTGTTGGTATTTATCACAGAGAATTTTTAATCAATAACACTGATCCATGTGACCGTCATTGTGGGACAGTGTCACACCTACATGCACTAGTTGAGTATCCTGTTTAAAGGAATGAAGTGTAAAGTTTCAGATTTCTAAACACAAGACACTGCAAGTGTTAGAAATCTGCAATTCTTCCAGCTTTTCAGCATCACTACAGAATGTGCAATAGGTGTAAATACATTTATCAGTCCGTTAACAGATTTAACGAACCGTCCTGTTGCCTTATTGAACTATTGAACCAGACTTCACTTGTTTTACAAACAGGAAATCACATTCCTGATAGCGTCTCCTCAGAACGAGTTTATTTAGCATAATCAGAACAGATGCTGCGGAGCCTTTTTCTCAATAACATCTGTATTTTCACTGATTCCCATCTGTTCAATCTGCCCGTGAATATTTTTGAATAATAATTCAGGCTAATACTATTGCACAGGCTGTATTTATGAAACAATAATGGTTATGCTTTAATACTATTATAACTAGAGCTGTGACTATCAATCAGTTAATTGTAGACTATTGAATTAATCTGCAGCGATTTTGATAATGAGTTATTCAGTTTGATTTTTAGTCTAAAATCTCTGATCACAGCTTCTTAATTTACTGACTGTAGTTTCTGGTTTCTCACTTCATCGATGACAGTAAGCTGAATATCTTTAGGTTGTGGAAAAGATATTTGTCATCTGGGACTTTGAGAAACACCGATCAACGTTTTTCACCATTTTCTGACATTTGTAGACCAAACAACTAATAGATTAATGGACAGGGGAATGAAAGATGTGCAGGGCAGCAAACATGATATGCAATGTAAAAAGGCAGCACACAGTACAGGCATGGTAGAGCTGTACAACATTTGTGTTGGCTTTTATAAGTAGCAACCTCTCTTTTTCCAGTCAACCCAAGTTGTTTAGGGTGTATTATGAAATATATTTGAGCTTAATTGTCCCGATTTATGAGGAAAGAAAATAAATCAGCCAAGTGTTCAATGGCAAGATTTGTCTTGGACTTTGATTCGGACTGAGATCATCCAGGTTTTGCATCTTAGTGGCTTCAGTTGTTGATTTATCCTCCACAAACTTCAAATAAAGAAGTCCAGTAACTGTTAAATCTGAGTAAATGATGTTCTATCAGACACGATTCTCTTGTAGATTAATTGTGGAAAATTAGAAGTTTTTGTATTAATCAGCAACAGAGGTTGTTTTTTACTTTGCAGGTTTTGAGATTTGACGATTACACATCCCATCGTCAACGCTGAAACAGATAAATTGTTAACAGCAGTGAATACAAACACGTACACGGTATAGTATGTTCGTAGTATGCAATCTTAGTGCAACAACAACAACATTTCTAATTAGCATTTTAAATACGATTTTTTGTGTTACAATTTGTTACAACCCAGCCACTAGGGTCAGCTGGGTGTAACAAAAAACCAGAGGGAAATGGTTCAGGTTATGCAATTTGTTGCTCAGTAACGTAAATCACGAAAAATCAAAAGAACCAAATGAAGGCTGCCAACATAAGTTACATTACAATAAACACAGAGCGAGAGGCACCAGGACTGTTCACACTGAACCCCAGCCAGCCCTGCCTGAGAGGTTGCTGGTTGCTTTTATAGCCAGGTGTGGTGATTGCTGCGGTTGAGGACGAGTGGTGGTCCAATCAGATGTGACTGGAGACGGGGAGAACAAGGGCTGGACTGCAGGTCTTTAGCTCCAGGCTAATTAGCTGAGATGTCATGCAGCTAGTGTCCTGGAGCTCTCAGCCACCCACAACTGGGCCCCACGCAGGTCATCTCCACATGCAGTGGTCACAAGTCCACATAACCATAACAACACAAACACCATGGGTCATATCAAATTTAAAAATGTTAATGAATACGTTAAACGCAAACGTGATTGTAAACTATCTTGTCAGAATAAGAGTTTCAGGTTTCATGTTACACTGTATGTATTCAGCTTCAGGTCCTGTAAGACATGTGGCTTAAACCAACTGTGGCTGCTGTATGTCTGAATGAGGTATTTCATCAGGTAGCGACAGTGGAGCCGGCGGCTGAGGTGAAGCCGGTGGGATCAGCTGACGGCGGTCCAAACGCCGCCGCGGAGTCCACCGCGAAGCCTCCGCCTTTCAAAGACCACACGTTCATGGTGAGCGTCTGTTTCCAGCCTGAATTTATCTGCTTCTGTTGCTTCTCCCTCAGTTTTCATTCTCTCTGTTTTCGCCTCTCTTCATCTTGGCAGCACTCTGGGATTGGTGGAGCAGCAGCAGGCAAAAAGAACAGGACCTGGAAGAATCTCAAACAGATTCTGGCTTTGGAGCGGACTTTACCCTGGAAGCTCAACGATCCCAACTGTGAGTTTCTGTATCTTCTGACTCGGCACACATACATTTGTTTGCTCCAAATAATCCAACTCTGTGTCTGCATTCAAAATTCCACCACATTTATGCAAAATACTGTCAACAACATGGATTATTTTGTTGGTTCTTCGTCTCCAGACAGCACAGAACATTTCCAAAACCAGCTGACATTAAAGAAGAATGACAGTTTACTCCAAAAAAACCCCCCCAAAAAAACAGATTGCAGAAAAGTCACATTTTTATATTTGTTTCAGTAAAAAACTTATGCAAAAATGTGTCACTTATCTACCAATATTTGTCAAAATAATTGCAATATGATAATTTTTTGCATATGGTTCAGCTCTAGTTCAAGTTCTGACTTTCCTGTGTTTACAGACTACAACATTGACGCTCCTCCTTCCCTGAAACCAGCCAAGAAATACTCAGACATCTCTGGCCTGCCTGTGAGTAGAATAAAGGCTGCATTACTTCAGCTCAGTCTCGTATAGAGTTCTCTCTGAATGACCCCTCTCGTCTTTCCTCAGGCCAACTACACAGACCCTCAGACCAAGCTACGCTTCACATCTTCTGAGGAGTTCTCTTACATCCGGCTCCTCCCCACTGATGTTGTTACCGGCTACCTGGCCCTTCGAAAGGCAACATGCATCGTACCCTGACAGCGGAGCGACGCTGGAAACCTGAAACACACCAGAACTGAACTCATGTCAGCGCAGGAGGCTGCCGAGCTGACCGGGACGGAGCTCAGAGCTCAGAGCTGAACCTGGGTCTGGAGGCTGCTGGAGGGGAAACTGCAAGAGCTCAAATGCTGCTAAACTGTAGTACTGCTGTGACTGAACCTCAAGCAGTTTCTGGGTATTTTACTCACTGTGGATTAATTTGTCACTGCAATGTAAAGTCCTGCATCTCTGTGGAAACAGAACAACCACAATGAAGAGGAAAAAGGACTCAAACCTGTCTTCTGTGTAGTATGACACGGTTATAATGCTGTAAATCACAAGAACGGATAAAAACAAAAGTTCAAATTCCACGATTCTTTATTTTCTTTAAAAATTAAAGAAACCTGGAATACACATTTTCCAACTGCCCAAAGCTTTTTTTTTTTTTTTTTAGAAAGACTAGAAAACATTGTGGCTCTACATACTACAGATATTTTACCATTTGCATGTTTAATGTTTCCATACTTGTATCCAATCAGCTCTGTGAAAGCACAGCCTGCAGTTCAGCCGAAAAGTCCCTGAAATTTTATTACATCATTCAACTTTCTTTTTATTTCCCCCTCATTTTTATGATGTATGGCATTATAACTGTGTGAAGACAGTTTTGAGTCCTCTGTACTTCTAGTCATGGTTGTTCTGTTGCCATAGAGCTGCAGGACTTCATGTTGAAGTGCAAAATGAGCCCACAGTGAGGAAAAATGTAACAGGAGCAAAAAACATGCCCAGAAACTGCTCAGAGTTCAGATGATTCAGATGTTAAATGCCACACTGTGTCAAATATCTGTTTCTAGTGGCAGATTGTGGAGGAGAAACGTTGCTGTTGGAAAGACTTTGATTTTGCTTATCCTAAGGTGCCTCTTAAGTAGCTTGAATTTTGCATTAAAGTCTCTTTTTCTATTCATGCTCTCATATCAGATTTTTTTTGTTTAAATGTACATTGTCCTACGTTGGAAATAGAGAGACAAACACTGTTTCAGTAGGAATTTTGCTCATGACAACCTGTAAACACACTTGTAAGATGTTGATGTCTAAAAAGCTGCAGCTAAAATATCTTCACCTGCTAATGTAGTCAATTCAGCTCTTATATATATATATGCTTCCATCCATCCATTATCTATACACCGCTCAATCCTCACTAGGATCATGGAGGGCTGGAGTCTATCCCAGCTGACTTAGGGTGAAGACGGGACACCCTGGACAGGTCACCAGTCTATCACAGGGCCACACAAAGAGAGAAACACTCACATTCACACGTACGGACAATTTAGAATCACCAATAACCTCAACATGTTTTTGGACTGTGTGGGAGAAAGCCGGAGAACCCGGAGAGAACCCACGCTGCACGGGGAGAACATGCAAACTCCACGCAGAAAGATCCTGGGTGTCCTCACTGGGATGCGATCTTGCTGCGAGGCAACTATGCTACCCACCGATGCACCTCGCAGAACATGAGAATTATCCCTGTCACGTATAAATACAGACTGCTCACTAGATCTAATTGTCCTCTTAACGATTCACCTGACAAAAGTGTGGATTAACTCAGTGCTTGAGAATTTATCACCAGCTGAACGTTTCAAATATGTTTTCCTGCACAGTTGACCTATTCAGACCCTTTCCCAACCACAACAATAGAAATACGATTTTTAAAAAAACTTTATATTGAAGTCAGAAAAAGGAAAGTTTTCACTGTTTTGGTTTAAATTGAATAGATGTGAAGACGCTAAAAGCCCTGGGCTTCGAGAGGCGGCCGCTCTGAACACTGAACCATCTGTTGACACTCTGCAACAGTCTAAATAACACCCCCCTTCTCTCTGTTTGCTCAGGCTCTGTGAGCACACGTCGCTCAGTAGTCTTTGTTTGCATAAATCCTTCAGTCTTTTAAGTACAACGCAAACAATGAGCCAAACGTTACCATTAAAGGATAATAAGGTGAACAGGGAAGGATTAGTCTGGCGATGCTGCGTATTTATTTGCATCCTTATTACCAGCAAATCCAATGGAAATAATATAAGCAACAATGAACTGATAATATTAGCAAGGACTGTGTGTGTTTTATTCATAATAACATCTCAATTATTGTCTAAAAGCAATTAAAACACATACAGATAAACTAAAAATTGTTCATATTCATGCCAAATTTGATTCATAGTGAATTTTTGTTTGACTAATATGGTTCTTCTGGCTGGAAATGACATAAACAAGAGATAAAAGCTGGTAGGACATTGTGTTCAAGATGTTAATGTTGAATTTTGTGCATTTTTGTCTCAGTTATCAGTGTGAAAGTCTGTATTTTCCTCCACATCAGTCCAACAGCTGTTCTAGTGTCTAACAGTGTTTCTGGGGTTTAGTTCCTCCAAGTGTCCATCTGCAGCTCTTGGAGCTTGAAGGCTTCCTCTCCATCACTCTGCTCTTCAGCTCCTCCACAGGTTCTGGATGGATTCAGGTCTGGACTCTGGCTGGGCCGCTCCAACATCTCCTCATTGTTTCCTCTTCAGCGTTTCTTCACCACTTTGGCTGCAGGTTTCACATCATTGTCTTGTTGAAGCTCCATTGCTGCCCAAGGAGCAGTGTTCCTGCAGACTGCCTGATGTTCTCCTCTGTTCTCATGATGCTGTTTCCTTCAGACATGACTTGTAACTGACTAGAGAACTGCTGCAGGTCCAGCTGAGCTTTAGTGAGTCTGTCCTGGAGAAGTGGATCCTCCTTGATCTCCATGGAGACCAGCCTTGTTGTTGGTCTGCTGGAGTGTCTGATTGACATGTTGCTACCAGAACTGCTCACATTCATCAGGATGCTCTTGGTGCTGGTCCTTGGGTTCTTCTTGGCCTCCACCATTCTTCCAGTGCAGGGCTCACGTCTGTCCTCCTGCAGCCCTTTGACATGTTCAACAGTGAGGAACTCCTTGCACTTTTTCACAAAGCTTTGCTCTGTAGACACTTGATATGTTTTTATAGCCTTTAACTGTCTGTGAGCAGCAACACTGCACAACTGGGAGTCCTCATTGAGTTCTTTGGTTTTCTCCATCACTAGTAACTAACAAGGGAACTACTGCATCAGCTGCTCTCTGTTTATAGTTTATTAACACTCTAGAATATAGTGAAAGTCACCAGAATCATTTGGAACTGCATCAAAGCTGCATTTTCTCAAAATATTTACAGTTATTTTAAGGAGTATGAATAATTTTGGAGACGGCAAAATTGTAAACAACACATAGAAATAGTTATAATTCATCATGAACGTCTCTCACACTCTCTTGTTTATGTCATTTCCAGCCAGAAGACATTAATTGGTCCAATAAAAATCCACTACAAATCAGAATCTGGCATGAGCATGGATGGTTTTGGGCCTAACGATAAATGAGTCACACTGTTGCGCTGCAATGCTCCAGAAACACAAACACGAGCTATTAGCGTTTCTGCAAACGAGCGGTCTCACTCGCGGCTGAGTGTTGCAGCTCCGGTGAAGCTGATGAAGGCAGTATAGTATATCTATGAGAGTCGGAGCAGCATTTCCATTCCTGCTGTGGCATCAAAACCTCAACGTAGTGATTAATGAACGGCGTCAGGGCTTTCTACTAGCCAAGCACACGACTCAACAGAGTGTGTCTGTGTGTGTGTGTGCAAGCACCTCTGCTGTGTTCCCAGCCGGGAAACTACACACTAGGAGGTTGTTCTTAGATTAGCCTTGGGATCTGTTTTTAAAATTAATATTGTCATAATCCTAATATGAAAATGTTTATGCACACCTTGTACGAGCATCTACATGTGGATATTTGTGGCATGTTGTGCGTAATTGAGCCTCAGGAATCCAAAAAGAGATAAAAAGTGCATTGCAGTATCTGGGCTGCTTTGCACTCAAAGCTGAGAAACCCTGCAGCTACACTTGTCTTTGCAGTCGCAGCTCGTCTCCACCTGGGTGCGCCACAGCTCTGCTTATTCTGCCGTCCAGCACTCGGTGCCACGGTGAGTCAGTCAGGTCACAGCAGTGTGTCCAGCTCTGAGCTCGGATTTATGAACTGCTGCAGGAGGATTTGCCCACCCACAGCTCCGACCGTCTTCTACACATCAGCAGCGGCGCTGGGTAAAAACTCAAACTCAAGGGTAAAGACTAATATAAGTAAATGCAATAAATGCGGCTGTTGGAGTTTAGCTGGCAGCAAAGCGTAAAGATTCTATAATACAAGCACTCTGATTTAAACAATCAAGGCTAATTTTGGTGTTGTCGCGGAAATAAGCAATTTACAGCTCAATCATATAATAACCGTCATTAGGAAATTGATTGTGATGTGCAGAAAAAAAAAGGCTCTTCTCGCCTTGATGGAGGATTCGGCACCTGCTGCATTGCACGAGATGTGTGTTTGCAGTGAACACACACACACACACAAACTCAAATCAATGATTGACTCCTCCGTCGGGTTTGTTTTTTGCTGCAAGTTTCTGAAACACTGCGGAGACACTGTGAACTAAGGTTGAGCTCATTTATGTCCAGTGATGGTTGAGATGCTATAGAAGTTGTTTATCCCACTTCTCAGTGCGTGCAGCTTTTCCAGGACTGCTTCTCATTCTACCTGCTGACGACAAACAGCATGTCGAGCAGCAAAAGCATCATCAAGACTGAGATATTTAACTTAATCTCATAGCTGACACATTCGGTTTTGCTGAACCAGTTCAAATCCGTGACTTCTCCGTGTGAGATTTGCCAGCTTTTCCAAACAGATAGAGGGAGAGGAAAAAAAATCTGTTGATAGAAGCCGTGCTGCATCCCTCATCTGACATGTCTTACTTCTTAAAGTATATGAGAAAAATTCATGAGAGCTACCCTCAAATGTCAGGTCGGAGAAATGGACTAGCAGCTCTGGTGAGCTGATCAATAGAGCAGCTCCAGTGCCTGCTGAGCCAGCAGGGGAACTTTCATATTTATGTGTTTTGACCTATTGGAACAGCAGAAGTACTGAACTTTTTTGCTCCCTGTTAACAAAGATACAACAGTGTGTCTGTTTCAGTGATTTTGCCGCAGCGGTTTGAGGTGTTTATTGTGGAGACTTTAAATTCAAGCTGCTTTAACAGGCACCTTAGTCAGAGCAAAGTCAACAAACTCTGTCCAATGTTTCTCGTCTGACCCAAGGAGCTTCAACGTGGCATTAAACTGAAGTGAAAAACAGTCAATGTTGAGAATTTATAGGCTGATTAGATTTACCCCTCTAAACCTGAAGTATTTTCAAGGTTTTTTTTTTTAGCCCGCTTGACATTTTTACTCACTGTGGACTCATTTTTCACAGCAGTATAAAGTCCTGCACCTCTACGGAAACAAAACAACCATGAAGAAGGAGATAGAAGTAAATGATGGTGCACTACAACACAGTTATAATGCCGCAAAACATTAAAAAGAAAAAACAAAAGTTGAATTTCTTTGGCTGTTTGTTGCACGAAAAAAATTCACTACTCTGCACATCAATTCTAGAAAGATGTTTCACCATGCTGAATGTATCTCCCAACAACCTGCTCCTCTGTGTGTGTATTTTGACCTATGCAGCGTTTATTTTATTGATTCAGAATTTTACGTTGCCTCCCAGTCACTCTAATTTGTTTTTGCACTTGTCTTCTCTCTGCTTTGGGTAAACAGCCTGCAGTTCAGCAGAAAGTCTCAGTCATGACCATAGACTGTATAAAAGATGGACGTAGCAACCGGCCCTGAAAAATGAAGCCAACCCGGAAGTGTCAAAAACCTGCAA